CTTATATTTGCTTTTGGTTTAGTTTGCTCTTCTTTTTCTGTTTTCTTAAGGTAGAAGTTTATATTATTGATTTGAGATTTTTCTTATTTTTAGTATGTGTTTTCAAGTATAAATTTTCCTGTAAGCAGTGCATGAGCCCTGCATCATATAAATTTTGATATGTTGTGTCTTGATTTTTATCTTAAAGTACTGTCTAATTTCTCTGTGATTTTTCTATTTACCCATTGTTTATTTAGGAGAGTGTTGTTTAATTTTCACACATTTGTGAGTTTTCTAAATTTCCTTTTGTTGTGTTCAGAGAACATGTTTTCTATGGTCTTATTCTTTTTAAATGTATTAAGACTTGTTTTGTGGCCATAAATAAAGCAGAGGGTGGCTTCCTCTCCGTGTGGTTTCTCTACCTTCTCTTTATTGGCAAGGATACTAGGAAGGGTGGGATATAGGAACCCTTATACCTAGCCTGAGTAGCATGGGTTACTTTAAAAAAATTGCCAATTTTACCTTCGGACTTTGTCTTGGTAAATTGTGTTTGGGCTTTTCACAAGAGTGCATACAAAAGGAGTTAAAATAAGAAATCTTTTTCAGTTATAATAAGTTAAAATAAGAAAACTTTTTAAGTTTCATAATTTGCTTTAACAAAATACAAAATGTTAGAATATCCCTATTGTAAGCAAAAGGCAACTATATGTCAATTAACATGGACTTTGGAGCTTGTTATGAGAAATAAGGTCATAAATTAATGGAAATTTAAATTTTCTAAAGCACTGGATTTTTTTTAATGTGATATGCTTTGTTATAGGTTTTATGCTATCTCAAATGTATGTATGACTTCATTCATAGGTAATTCATAGTAAAAAAATGAATTTTATATTGACTTCAGTGAGCCACAGTGTGTTTAACTGTTTTTAAAAATTCCTGAAAGCAGTAAACAAGAGAAAATAGCACAGAACACTCTTAATAAGAGAGGTCTAGTGTAACATGGATTCTGTGACTCCAAAGCCAATTGATTTCACATTGAGTCACTTTTTGGATGTGTCAAATTATGTAATGCACGGTGTAGTTAGTTTGGAATGCTGGCTACTTTTATGCAAGCTGATTCTTTTGTATACTTTCCTTAATGAAGAACTTAATGTCATATCCATTTTATTAGGCTTTTTAGTTTCTGAATTTTCTAATGCTTCTTGAAGTAGTAATGGTGACTTTTTAAAGTATTAAATAATTTTGCATAAATCTAGTTTAAAATATTTTCTTCCTTACTTACTGTAACCAACCTTTCCCTATAGCTGTGAACTTCACAGAAGTTAATGAAGAAAACAAAAACGTTATCTTCCGTGAAGTGTTTTCTTCCATTGAAACTTTGGCATTTACCTTTGGGAATATGTAAGTAGAGGACTGTCATTTAACGTCTGGATGTCTTAGTGAGAGTATGTCTCATAATCCAGTAAGATACATGAAAAATAAAGGATTAACCACTGTAAAGTATCATCACAACTTTAGAAAAGCTACATTCTGTGTCACTTTATTACTTACTATATTTGGAAGTATCTTTGTAGTTATTTATAAGCAACATCCATTTTCAAGTGAATATGTTTGTGGTTTATGGGAACAGATTTCTAGGAGTTTATTTCTTTTTTTGTGGCTGACCGGTATGGGGACCCAAACCCATGACCTTGGTTTTATAAGCCTCCATTCTAACCTAGTTAAGTGGTCAGCTCTCTAGGAGTTTATTTCTAAGGTTCTTACTTAAAAAAATATTTTCTAGATGACATGTTGAATGTAAAGCCAGTGACAAAGAAGTGTAGTGACTTGTCTTTTTATTTCTGTTTCTTTTTTTAACTTCTCTGGATAGCCTTACAAACTTCCTTATGGGAGATGTAGGCAATGATTCATTACTACGACTGCCTGTTTCTCAGGAAAGTAAGGTAAGCTAAGTTTGTGTGACAGCAAAGCCTCTAATATTTTTAACTTAATATTCATTTATTTATTAATCTTAATCTCAGCATTACTCTTTGACAGTTTTCAAGTTTAAAAATTAGCATGTTATAGAAAGAAAAACAGACCAGTTCATTTTTAAATATGACAATTTTTCGTCAGTTTCTGGAGAATAATTTAGTTATACTTTTTAAGTGGGACTATCATGTTAAAAGAACATATCTGAAATTTTATAGCATCTTATGTAATGAATCCATGTGTCATATAGTCCAAAATTTTAGTAAGTAATTTTTTAACCAAATTTTTCCCTCTTGACATTGCCACAGATCTTAAAGACTGGAGAAAACCTAGAAAAATGATGCAAGAAGTAAAAAGGATGTGTATCTTTTCACACATCCTTACAGTTTATGTTTGTTACCATGAAATACTTGTTAACAGCCCTGTATATCTTTGTTCTCCCTAAGCGTGTCACAGGATTGGGGTTCCAATTTTCAATGGGAAGAAAAATTGCTATGGAGTAATAGAACATGAGGAATGTATGGAGAATATTTCTTTAAAAACTTATAGTAGTAGTAATATTTTCAGACTGAATTTTTTTTTTCACTGAATGCAAGATATTTAAACAAACTGCATCAGAGACATATACTGATCATTTCCAGTTAAAGATGATCAAATCCAAATATTTGATTTAATCTAAATATTTGATTTCAGCAAATATTTGGGAATGTGTCAGGTACTAAATTTTATGAAGTGTTTATAATTTCAGGTCTTTCTTAAAATTATACAAAATATGAGTGACTAAGACATTTGTTATATGTACTGCAATGTTGCCAAAAAATGACTATTTTTGAAGCCATCATTTGATGAATGAAGAACAAAGAGTTTTATGATCTTTAAATATTTTGCTATTGTTCATGATTCTTCCTTAATTTTACTTTTCAAACTATTGACACTACTTCACAAGATAATAAAACATTTTATCTGTGTGGCGAGGCCCTGAACAATTTAAATTTTAGGTGTTAATAATATTTCCTGTGCCTCTATTATACACACATACTAACTCTTAATAGGAAAATATTTTTTCCTTTCTTTTTTTTTTTTGTACTTTTTGGAAGTTTTTTATTTGCCCTGGAGATTGGAATAAAAAAGCCCATAATGATATAATGCTATTAATAAAATTACTTTGTCTGATGAAGGGTTTTGAAAAAACACCCTTTGAAAATAGTAGCTGTAGTTTATTTAGTAGTGCTTCCTACATACCATGTACTGTGCTAAGCCTACATCATCTTAATCCTTAAAACAGCCTTATGAAAGTAGTGTTCTTATCCCCTTTTTACAGCACAACAAACTAAAGTTAGTTGAGCTTAAATATGTAACCCAGTGCCATACATCTTATAATAGATCTGGACTTCAGACCATAGTCTATTCAATCCCTTTTACGTTGAATCCCTGCATACCCTGTATTGCCTAACTAAATAGATTAAATTTGTTTAAGATCTCACAGTTTTGGTAGATGATGTTTTCTAGTACTGTCCAATAAGGTAGCCACTGGTCACATATAGTTCTTTAAATTTAAATTATTTAATAATTAAAATTTAAAATTCACTTCCTAGTCTCACTTTTTAATGTTCAAGTAGCTACATGTACTTAGTAGTTACCATAGTGGATAGTACAGCTATAAAACATTTCCATCATCATAGAAAGTTCTGTGCTAAGCTGACTTTCAGAAACATGCTTATCATATCATAATAAAATGGTAATACATGGCTGGAAAAGACAGAATCTGTGTCTTCTATTTAGTTAGCCATATATTTGGATTGCTTCTCTAACTTTCAGACTAATATTTTTGGCATCTGCAGAATTTAAAGTTTTGAATGATTCATTAATATTAACTAATGCTGTTAGTAAACAGTGAGGTTGTTCATTCTTAGATCTTGAGAACTGCTGTTGTAAAAAGCTGTATAATTCTTATATAGTGTTTTTGTGTTTAAACAGACTTCTCAGGCCCTTTGAGTTTTAAATACTTGAAATTCTTTAGCAGGAATTATGTCAGAGTAACAAATTAGGATGAACAATCTCTGAGGCAAAGATTTGTTGTCTTGTGTTCTAATCTTAAATTTGTTTTCTCCCATGTTGTAAGTCTTTTGAAAACATTTCTGTGGAATCAGTGGACTCGTCCAATGAAAAAGGTAATGCTCAAGGTACTTATAATTTTTGTTGAATTGTTTGCAGTTACTTTTGATAAGTGTTTTGGATTACTTAATCTCTTCTTAGTAATCTAGCGTGTTCATTTTTAATGCAAAATGTTATATAAAGTTTTACATATGACACTTAAGGGAAACCTGCCAGAGTAGATAGATAATGTGATGATATAGACTGATAAAGAATTGTATAAGGCTTGTAACTTGATGAATAATAGAAATACATATTAAGATAACAATAGATTACAGTTTGTAATCATTTTAAGTTTAAACTGTGGCCCTTTGATTCTAAATTGTCACTTTTTTTTCCTTTTTGTCTTTTTTTTTTCGTGTCCGGCAACGGATCGCAACCCTCAGTGTCGCGCCCGTACCGGACCGGGACCGGCAACGGGATCGCAACCCTCGGTGTTGCTCCCACACCTCGCTCAGCCAGTGAGCGGGAACCAGTCTGTATGTGGGATCTGAACCCTCGGCGGGAGCGCCTCCGCACTCCCAAGCAGCACACTGTAGCAGTGCACCACCAGGCTGGCCCCTAAACTGTCACTTTTTTTTAAAGCCAGTTTTTATTGAAGAACATCTTTAGATCTGAGTGCTTCTGCTTAGAGTTATTATGTGATCATATTTAACATATACTTACCGTGATATTTTTATTTTCAGGAAATTTTTCTCCAGTAGAACTAGACAGCGTGCTGTTAAAGAACACTGACTCTGTAGATTTGGCTTTGTCATATGCTAAAACATGGTCAAAATATACCAAGAACATAATTTCATGGGTTGAGAAAAAGCTTAACTTGGGTGAGTTGCCCTTTGGAGCATCTGATTAACTTTGGAGTTTGAGAACCAAATTGTGACACATTTTCTATAGACCATGAGTAATATGATTCCAAATAAGTAGCTGTTTCATCGTAATGAATAAAATCATTATTCATTTTCTCTTCTTGAAATAGGAAAGACTTTTCTTACACTAGAAATACTTATCAAACATTAACTGTGGACCAACCACTAGACCTAGTGACACAAAGACCAAATAGAATACTGTCTCTGCCTGTAAAGAAGTCATACTCTAATGGGTAAAGAGAAATGCAATCTGATAATATGGTAAAAGGAGACCAAAGCAACAATAGATGTATGAGCAGAAGGCAATGGAAGCATAGAAGCTAACTTTAAATATTAACTAATTATTAAGCTAATATTAATTAGTAATAGCTAATATTTCCCCAGTGTTTTACAGTTGACAAAATGTTTTTATATTCATTATCTCATTTAATCCTTACAAAAATACTGGGAAGTAGGCAAGATGGAAGTAAGCAAGATAAGCATTGTCATCCCATTTTATAGCTGAGACAAACAAGACAGGTGATTTACCTAAGATCATATAGCAGATTTGCTTAAGGTCATATAGCGTAACTGGAAGAATACAGAATCTACCCAAAGCCTATGCTCTTTCTACTATGCTGTTTGTTTTTAATAAGAAATGCTAAGCAGAATCACCCAAATAGCCTTGTAAAGGAAAATACGCAGGCCTATGTCCCATCCCTCAGAGAGGTGAGGTCTAGGCAAATGCATTTTGAAAAAGTTTCCCAGTTGATTCTGATGAGCACTTACGGTTAGGAATCACCGTGTTATATCGTGATGCACTGTAGTATTTGTGCTCACTTTTTAATTGGGGAATTACGAATAATAGAGTATAGAGGGGGAAATAAGTTAATTTTACCTTCTGATATCTTCTTTGACCTTTTCAGAATTGGAGTCCGCTAAAAATATTGTAAAGTTGGCAGAGGCAACAAGAACTAACATTGGAGTACAGGTAAATGTTCTGTGAATTTGTACAGACTAGTCAGATGAGCTCCCAATAGTGCCTTGCAATATCAGAAAATTTCAGTTAATAAAGGAAAGAACTTAAATGGTAATCTTTTCATTGACAAAGTAAAATCTTTTTAAATTTTGATGGATGTTTATTATGAAAAATCTGGCAATTCACAATTTTATACAAATATTGGTTATCTTGCTAATTACTAATTTTGCTAACTAGTTTCATAGATAATTATAATTAATTTTCTTCAATTTTTTTCTCATATAGTTATGTTTATGACTAGTCATTTTTCTGGGGGGAAAATGTCTAAACTTAAAGTTTTTCTTTTTTGAAGAAGAGTAATGGTGGGTTTGGAACTCTAGTACCATTCCTATTGTAAAATTTATTTTTCAATTTTAAATTCTAGGAGTTTATGCCACTGCAGTCTCTATTTACCAATGCTCTTCTTAGTGATGTAGAGAGCAGTCACCGTTTACAACAAACAATTGCAGCTCTCCAAGCCAACAAATTTGTGCAGGTAAAAATTAATTTATATGTACAGTACGCAAATTCTTTACAACTGTGTTTCTTTAATAAACAGCTTTTTTCTTTTTTTCTTTTTAAAAAATATACCCTTGGCAGCCTCTACTTGGTAGGAAAAGTGAAATGGAAAAACAAAGGAAAGAAATAAAAGAACTTTGGAAACAGGAACAAAATAAAATGGTTAGTGTTATCATGAAGTTCCGTGTACCTATTTGTGAACGTCTAAAATCATCCGCACTATATCACCATCTACCTTTACTCTGTTGTTTTTCTAAAATGCTGGCTTAACTATACTGCTGAATCTGCTAAAGAAACTTGTACAGTAGGATTTCTTTCATATTCTGTGTTAAATACTTTTTTCTCTATAGCTCGAAACAGAGACTGCTCTTAAAAAGGCAAAATTGTTGTGTATGCAACGTCAAGATGAATATGAAAAGGCAAAATCTTCCATGTTTCGTGCAGAAGAGGAGCATTTGTGTTCAAGTGGTGGACTAGCGAAAAATCTCAACAAGCAACTAGAAAAAAAACGAAGATTGGAAGAGGAGGCTCTTCAAAAAGTAATAATCTTTTGTTTTTTGCAAGTTGAGTTAGCAATAATCTGTGAAGGGTTTGGTTCTCAAACTTCAGCATATGCCTGGATCATCTGTTAAAACAGATTGGTGGGTCTTGAATCTTTGATCAAAACAGATTATCTTTAGAAATATTCTATTTAAAATATAGATAGAATATTTCAGGATTTTCATGACATAAAGGCTTTTCAGTTATTTAAATTTAGTTAGCTTTACTAAAGTAAGTATTTGTTTTAAAATATAAATTCTAGTGAGCAGTGTTATTTTTTTCTGTGATATTCCTGAAGGTAGAAGAAGCAAATGAACTCTACAAAGTTTGTGTGACAAGCGTTGAAGAAAGACGAAATGATCTAGAAAATACCAAAAGAGAAATTTTAGCACAGCTCCGAACACTTGTTTTC